GGGGGCAGCCCGCCACACGGGGGTGCTTATTCCCGGGGGAGCCCGACTTCCCTCCTTTCCCGGCTGGAAGTATTTCCAGCCAACCGCGTGCGGACTAGAACTTGTCCAGTGCCCCGGTGCCGCGGAACCCACTCGTGGGAAGCCTGGGCTGGGGGCTGTTGGGAGCTAGGGGTGCCGACCATGGCCTTCCCACCTGTCCCTGCCCCAGGTGGCTGAGATCCACAAAGCCTCCAAGGATGGGCAGCTCTACGATGTGGGAGGTGGTGCCAGGAGCTGCAGCGCCCAGGCCGAGCCCCCAGAGCCCACCGAGTATGACATCCTGCCAGCCTCCCAGGTGTACTCGGTGAGTGGCGTCCTGGTGTTCCCCCAAACCTGGGTCCAGGAAAGGTGCCACGGCCCCTTGCCTTCAGCAAGGGCATAGTCCTTGCTCTCCTGGCATCACAGCCCTGGCCCTAGGGCGCCCCAGGGCATGCCTTTGCGCTTCCGTACTCTGCCAGCTACGCCTCTGCAGCCCCCCACAGCGCCTGTCTCGCCAGCCTGACCCCCAAGCCTTGTCCCGCCCAGCTTTTCCCGCCCCTACTCCCGGGAGCCCCACCCACGCGGCCATCCCTGGGCCCTCTAGAGAGTGCCCTGGGGGCACCTGGGGTCAGAAGCCTCTCTCCTCCTCACAGCTCAAACCCAAGCGGGTGGGAGCTGGTTTCCCGAAAGGCTCCTGCACGTTCCAGACGGCCCCTCAGCTGATGGAGAAGACGCGGCTCAAGGAGCAAGACCCCCGGCCGGTGCAGGGAGGCGGGCAGGAGCCGCCCGGCCGGCCCCGTGGCCGCCAGGATGAGGACGGCGCTGAGCCCCTCCCTGGGCCCAGAGCAGAGGCCCCCGGGAGCGGTGCTCATTGTGGGGCGCCCTCCCCCAAGAAGAAGGCAAAAGGCCCCTCTCCGGGCAGTCCTACTGCCAAGGCCCGGGTCGGCAAGAAGCAGCAGCTCCTGGCCGCGGCGGCCCTCAAGGGCTCCCAGAACATCGCCCGCTTCTACCAAAGGACCGAGAGCTCTCCTCTGCTCACCTCAGCCCCAGGGGCAGAAGGTGCCAGCCCTCCCCGTGACAGGGCGCGGGGACCCCTGACGGCCCCAGAGAGGTGCACAGGGGAGGATGACGGAGCCGTGGGACGTTTGGCTGCCCACCCCCAGACCGAGGAGTGCTCCGAGGAGGGGCCAAGGTGAGGTCACGGGCAGTCCTGGAATTCTCTAGAATCCCCTCTGCTAACTGGGCCTCTGAAGCTCGGGGCCTGTTCCCACGATGGGCTTCACTGGGCCACCTGGGCTGAGGGCATGGCTGGCATCTGGAGCTCTGACGCCTGCTTTCCCTTCCGGCCAGTGCCTGCCCGCTCAGAGACCAGAGGCCCCCAGAAGGCCAGCCCACCCCCACAAAGGAGGCACAGAGAGGCAAGCGGCCCAGACCCCAGCAGGTACTGAGAGGGGGGAAGATACCTGTCTACCAGGCTGGTGTCTGCTCTGGGTAGGGGTTTGGGAAAATCATCTCTTCTTTCCACATCCCAGGGCAGACGGGCTGGGCTGGGCTGGAGGGAGCCAGGAGGTGCTGAGGCCCAGTCTTCCAGGAGGGGAGGGGCCAGTAACAGGGAGCCCAAGAGTGACCCTCCACTGTGGTCCTGCCCAGGAGAACCCAGAGAGCCAGGCTCAGAAGAGGCCATGCCCCTCAGCCAAGGTCTCCATCTTAGTTGAGACCAAGGGCAGCGTCTCAGCCAGCGATCAGGGCAGCTTGAAGCCCCAAGGCTCCTGCCAGCTCTTGGCTCCTGGCATCTCGCTGAAGGAGGCTGCGAACGTCGTGGTCAAGTGTCTGACCCCCTTCTACAAGGAGGGCAAGTTTGCATCCAAGGTAGGGTAGGTGCATGGGCTCTGTTCTCCCCTGAGCCTGGGGCACTTGGGTGCAGTGCGTGGGTGGGTAGGGAGCATGAGCCCCAATGAAAAGCAGGGCGGAAGCAGGCCAGCCCAGAGGCCCGCTGCCCGCTCCCTGGGTCTGCCTCGCTCTTGGGTCGCAGCTGTGGGTCGCTCAGAGCAGGGTGAGGTTCTGTGCTCTCTGCTCCTCTCCACTCTCTGTCCCCAGGAGCTGTTTAAAGCCTTCGCCCGCCACCTCTCACACTCGCTGACCCAGAATCCATCTCCGGGAAGGAGCGGTGAGTGCCTGCGTCACCGGCCGGGAGGTGCTTGTGGGGGCCCTGTAGTGGGGAGACTGGCTCTCACGCTCCCCCATCCTGAATCCAGTGAAGGAAGAGGCCCAGAAAGTCATCAAGCAGTTTTTCCACGGCCGAGCCCGGTGCGAGAGTGAAGCTGACTGGCACGGCCTGTGTGGCCCGCAGAGATGACCGAGAGCTGCCCGACGGGGCCGGTGTCCTCCCCGGACTCCACCGTGGCCCAGCCCGGGCCTCGCTCAGTAACGGGGAAGGTGGGCGGCCTGCTGCTGCTGGGGCATCGTCTGCTCTCAGGCTCTTCCCCCTTCCAGCCACGCCTTGCTTTGGAAATGGGCCTGGACATCTCCCAAGTCAAGGTCAGAGGTCAGCCCACCCTTCTCTTTGCTCGCGAAACCTGAGGTCCTCTTTCTCCTAGCCTTCCTGCCTCCCCGGCCCTCATGGCTGGGTTTTCTGGGCCAGATCCACAGATCAGAAAGTGACAGGTGGTGTGGCTGCTGCCAGAGGAACAGAAGGAAGGAAGGTCCCTCTACCTCTTGTACTTAGCACGTTTTCAGCCGGGGGTGAGGCCCACCAGTCCGAGGCCTTGGGGCCTACTCAGAAAGAGCCCGGGCTGGCCCCAGGTCTGCCCCCACCACCGTCTTCCCTCGCGATGCCAGCCTCCGGCCCGGCCCAGGTGCAGAGCTCCTGGGAAGACGGGCAGCAGCCAGGCCCTGCTCCCTCTCAGCCCCTGGCCGGGAAGGCCAGGCAGGGCTTTGACAGTTACCAGGGGAATAAAGTCCTGTTGGTTCTCGTGCACACGCACACAGCCCTGTTCTCTCAGGAGTTTTATTTCCTCAGCAGCTGCTGCTCCCAGGGCTGGGCTCATGCTCGTGTCGGGCCAGGGCCCAGGTGGGCATCTCCCCCAGACTGGGCAACATCGGACGCCCCAGCCGAGTTCCTGCAGCGCTCACCCCAGTCTCAGGCCCAGGCCCACCCCAGAGGGAGTCTCGTGACTCTTTC